GAGAAGGAGAAAGAAGAAGAAGGAGAAGGAAGAGGAAGAGGTAGAGGAGAAGGAAGAGGAGGTAGAGGAGGAGGAAGATGACTTTTACTTTTTTACACTATCAAGTTTTTTTCCCCAGCAAACAAAATTAATTGGTAATTAAAATTAAGGAAGTTGGAGAAGGAGGCTGAACAAAGTCTACAAAATAAAAACCTGGCTTTGCCATTACATCACGTGAACAATTCTATCCACCAAAGCTTGATAAATATTATTTAAATCATAAAATCGCCCAGTATACTCCTTAAGCGTAGAATAGAGATAAAGGCGTTTGTATTCCAACACCAGGATATGTGTAAAATCCAACAAATTCAACCATTATTCATCTACACTATGAGTAACTGATTAAGAATTGCTTGGGTAGAAATTTTTGATAGAATCATCGACCCCGAATAGAGAAAAGAACTTAGAGGCAAGGAAACAGGGTCAGTGAGGTGAGGCAACGCAGCTGCTTGCCTCTAGACGGACAACTCGTGACAGTTCCCACTTCCTCTCCCACACCTTTCGGCGGAGACGGAAGGGAGCTGTGCTCTGGGAAACTCGGTAATACTTCTCTTGGAAATCTCAGGCATGTACTTGTGAGAAATGCACCTCCTGTTCAAAGTGAACCACAAATCCACTTTGTTCTCCCCATTTCAGAAGGCAAGATCTGGAGCCTGTGTCTGGTGAAGTCAATGTGATCTCCCCAGAGAGAACCAGCTTCCCTTGCTTCTTCCTGTCCTGAGCAAAACCCCTTCCCTCCTACTGTAGAGACATAACCGAGATACCTGGAATCAACGTGGTGTCTGATGATCTTTGCACATTTGTTCCTGCGGGGTGGAGGTCACTTGAGAGAAGTCTATTATTCGCGCAGGACAGGACTCCTGTCTACTTCCTCTGGAGCCCTTTCCTTTCAAGTTTCCTTATTCCTTTAGCCACAGCCTATCAACAGCTTGTTTACAAATCCCAGCCTCCACCAGAGGAAGCTCTTGAAGCTTTCAAGGCCTCATCAGGCTAATGTCTCCATGCATTACATAAGACACCTCTCCCAGAGAATTCTTTCCCCTTTGGAAATAGACATAAATAAGGGAAACACATGTTCTGAGACGTGCCCTGAGCCAAGTCCTTAGGAATGGCTTTAAGATCACAGCAGCTCACAGTACAAGATTAGCAAAACCGGTCCTTCTTGTCCCTAACTAAATAATTTCTACTAAGCCAAGCTGGCTGTTAACCCCCTGGTTCTACTTTCTATTGCTTCAGTGTATAATTCTCAGTCTTTTTCAAATACCAGGATCATCAATATAGCTATTTTAGTCTTTATACATTTGTAGACTTCACTGAAGACATCAAGCACCCCACAAGCATGTACTATAGACACCCAACTGAGAAAGTAGAAAAGGTTTTTTTCTTCTCAGTAACACCTTTGTAAAGTGATACACCCCATTACAAATCCTCTGGAAGTGATTTCTTTAATGCGTTGAATCCAGGCATGGACATGGAGCTGAATGAGAAGAGGTCACTCTGTCTTTCCTCATTTGCCGAGAGCAGTGGTACCCTACAGCTATTCCATTATGATCTGATTTTTGGGTGGGTTGAAAGAGATGGTGTGTGTAGAATTCTGGAACGTGAGGGAGGTACCCCATGAGCAATTACTAGGCAAGGTTTCCATGAACCCAGTGTAAAGTAGGGGCACAGACTAAGTTTCAAGGCACAGGTAATGCCGTTTTGGTGGGTTGTAAGCAAATTCCTACTGCCATAGAATTCACTCTTAAAAGCAAGTCTGTGGCAGAGCCTAACATGTTAACTTCATTAGAGTAGAGCTGCTTTGCTTGGAAGCACAGGGAAGAGAAGAACACTCCCCTCCCCCAGCTCTTTTCCTCAGGCTCCTGGACACCATGCCTCTTATGTTGCTGAGAATTACCTCAGCTGGAATGACTAGCAGAGTAAAGGAAGGAGCCTTCTTGTATCACCAAGGAAAGCTGTCACATGACGTAGACAGAGAAATAGTGTCCTAGAACATTCATTGATGCCACTCCTGATAAAAAAAAAAAGTTCTGATACCAGTGCATTATAGAAGTAGAAATCAAACAGAACTGTGACATCACTGTCAACTGCATGATCACAAGAGAGAGGATACTGCTGTAGTTGTCTAGCTGAGGTAAAAGACCCAAGGGTCCTCAACACAGAATACCACTTCCATTGCCTGTCCCAACAACCTCTGTTCAACTAACCTAACCCATGATTATCACCCTTACACAATCTGTAGTCTTTAACACACTTCCAAGTGAAACATATGTTCAACTCAGACAGTAGGAATAAAGCAGAGTGGTCGATTTGAGAAGCACATTGTCTTGTATGTTGTTGAAAAGGATTCGCTGCTATTGACACTCTCATAAAGTCATCATAAAGCATTTCCAAACGCCAGAGGTTACAGGCTCAGCGGAAGTAAGGACGTTCATACACCTTGAAAGCATATGGATGTTTTCTGTTATCAAAAGTTCCCCAGCTTTGCAGGTAAGGAAACTTCAGGGGCTCTGAGATGCTGGGCAATGAGCCTGAAAACCAAGCCAACAAATGGCGTCAGGAAGATTAGAATCCAAGAGAGCAGAGTGATGTTATACTGCCTTTGATTAAATATGCTCGACATACTGGAATTCTCAAGGATGCTGCACAACAGGGCCTTCCATGTAGTACGCCACAAATCTGGTTCACACTTAACAACAAAACATGTCATAAATCAGACATGTCATAATTAAGAGCATACAGGACAGTGACCTTTGTCAACATAACTGTCAGGACCTAGGCAAAATATTAGTGCCTAGATGGAATGTTAAGGCCTATGTAAAATGTTAAGGCCTAGGTAACTGTCACCTGGCTAGCCCCCCATTACAAGGAAACTTTCTAATGTTGGGGTCCAGGAATCGCCTCACAAACCACACAAACACTGATCTCAGTCAGACAGGGATAGTTTATTGAGTGTACACCACAGGACTGATCAATCAAGGCCACAGTCCAGAGTTGGGAACTGACCCCGAGTTAAGATCATACAGGGTTTTTAAGCCCCAAATCCACAAACATCTGTGTCAAGTTATTTTACCAATCAGGATTTAAGGATAGGAGATGCATTTAGGAATATGTCTTTGTTGTACATTATCCAAAACAGTATTTTTCCATAGGTTAGGGTATTCAATTGTGGCAGGGGATTTGTCTAACCTTCGTGTCTTAACTTGTCTACCAAGATGAGACTTGTGTTGTCTAACCTTCATATCTTAACTTGTCCTTTACCTAGGTCCCAACAGTAACAGTGAGAAAAGAAGTATTATTTAACTTTTTTGATGTAAATATTTCTGATATCATCTAGTTGTACAATATATAGCCCACAGTGAAAAATCATCACTGCAGCTAAGAAAGACAAATTCTCCTTGAATTTTGAATTCTCTCTTGAGTTTTGGGAAAGTATGTGTAAAGTTTGGGCCACACTACTCTGCCTAAACAACACAGTATAAAACTGGAAGAAAAAAGAAAGATAAGAATACAGGTTCAAGTAAGTAGATAAGCAAAGTTCTGGGAATAATCTAAACTTTCATTTACGTAGTCTCAAAGTAATATTTAATTAATAACGTTGAGGTTCAATGCCTAGCAAAGGGATGCGTGCAGAACAGGTGCACTGATGCATCATTGCAGAACAAGTGGCTGAGTTCATAGACGTAGTGTTAAGGACACATAGGCATTGTTCTTTCACACACTTGAACAGTTTTTTAAACTCCACCATGTAGATCCCATGACATTTCCTGGTTGGCAACATTTTCCTTTTGATTTGAATCCCAGGATCTCTAACTCAAACAAAGGAAAGGAAGTACCATCCATCTTGAGAGAGAAAAGGAAACAAAGGCCCCCAAATAGGGTAGAGCAAGACAAAGCTGTTTTTACACTGTGACACAGGGATAAGAAGAGCAATCTCTAGCGACCACTTCTACCAAAAGGTTTTATTCACATCTGAGAAAATACAAACACATTCTCCATTAAATCATGTGAACACTTGACATAAATATATATATATCTTTAAAACCACACAGTGACGACTGGGAGAGACTCTCAGTATGCACAGCTAATATCAACAGTTGTAAACTCAGGCTAAGAAAAAAACTGCTTTTTCTCAAAAGCATCTCAGTGTCCTGAGGACTCAATAGAGAATCAATATGCGCTCAAAGATCACTATTCATTCTTTATAGGATCCCCTAAAAATAACCCAAGCATAAGAATACAAATATCTCCAGTTATTTTCACACAGTAAGATACTAGCTTAGATCTAGACTGGCCAAAGTGTTTAGCAAACTTCCATTCTGTTTGAAAGGAAAACCAATCAGACAAACAAAGGTCTGTGCAAGATAATGATGATGCCTAGCATACATTTTACGTCATCTAACAGTGGCATTCTTTCACCAAAGGCAAATCTGAGGTCCTCTGAGCATGCTCCATCCTTAGGACAATCAATAGCATTATCTGTCGGGTGTTCACATCTGGTTTTGCATAAGGCTGTTATCTCATTTTAGCAACATCAACAACAAATGATGCAGGATGCCTTATAACCTTGGTGCTCAATGTGAACTTAGCGGCTTTCACGGGAGCCCCTAGCAGAGCAAAAGCACTGCAGTTCATTCTGGCACACAGTGGTTCTGCCAAATGGCAGATCCGAGGGGACAATTAAACTGGCCAACCGAACTGTACAGCAGGTGAAATAGAACCTTAAAGCCAACGAGGGAGCACCCTCCTTTCCAAGAGACAAACAGTATGAAGGAAGAGGAGGAGGAGAAGAGGATGGAAGGAAGGAAGGAAGGAAGGAAAGAAGGAAGGAAGGAAGGAACGAAGGAACGAAGGGAGGGGAAGGTGAGGTAGCTGAACTTTCTAAAATAACAAATTAAATAAAAGAAGTAATAAAGTAATCAGAACTGAGCAAAATATAGGCTTTCACAATTTTACTCTGTGCTTCTGTCATTCCCATGGAAAACATATAAGGTACGGTAGAATATCTGACATGGGCATAGAAGACATATCAAACCAGAGATTTAATTTTCATTACTATTTCATTTCCCTAAATGGTTCGAGCTATAGTTAAAGTAACAGTTACAGAAGACAAAATATTTACAGCTACAGAGGCTACATATTAAACTGCCCTGGGTTCTGGTATGGTAGTTGCCAGAAGAAACCTGCAAGGAATGACAAAGCATTTTTTTTAATTAACAAATGCATTTGCCTTGATTTTTGACTATGCAAAGCTAAGCATACATTCTAAACGCATCCGTCAATGAAACTGAATTCCAGTAGGTCTCAGCTTTTTAGAATAAAGAACCGGCTTCAGAGAGTGGTCCACACACATCTTTATCCTTAAGATTAGTAACATTTCTGCTGTTTACAAAATATGAACAATATACATTACTTGAGACAAACGTGGCCACCAGATTTGCCTTTCTGTCTGCTTGCTTTCCTTCAGAGAAACTAAACAATGTAAAGCAGACACAGGTGAAAGTGGAATAAAATCCCTGGTTTGAAACGGGTACCTAAGAAACAACAAAGTAATCTACGTAACAAAACCACATACCAACACCCCACAGGACAACAATTGTACAGTATTACCCAGACTCTTTTTTAATTGGTATTTTCCCATTGTTTCAAAATACATGCTTGCTCTCAGGAGAAAAAGGAAGACTTGGTTAGTGAATGAATCTGGAAGTCTCTGATTTCCCAAGGTGTTATTGAAATCCCCACACCCTTCCTTAAGAAGAGAAACATGTAAGGGAGATGCCTGGAAGGAAATGCCCCTTACTTGAATTCTCAGTTGGATTTCCCC